AATAATAAGAAAGTGAACAACCCAATTTAAAAGTGGGCAAAAGATCTGAACACCTCACCCAAAAGATACACAGACAGCAAATAGGTATATGAAAGAGCAACTCAAAGTCATTTGTCATCAGAACATTGCTTGTGAAAACAATGAGGTAACAGATCACACCTATTAGAGTGGCTAAAATCTAAAAAGTGACAATCTCAAAAGCTGTCACACAAACAGAGCGACAGGAACTCTGATTGTTGGTAGAAATGCAAGATAGTACAATCACTTTGGAAAATAGTTTGGGAGGTTTTTTTAAAGCTAAACATAGTCTTGCTATATAATCTCGCAATGGCAGTCTGATTAGCCAAATGAGAGGAAAACTTACATTCACTCAAAAACCTGCACACAAATATTTACAGCAGTTTTACTTATTCTCAGCAAAAACTAGAAGTAACCAAGATGTGCTTCTCCACAAGCGAATGGACAAACACAATTGTGCTGTATCCATACACTGGAAGGCTAGTCAGTGATGAAAAGAAATGAGCTATCGAGCAATGAAAAGACATAAAGGAATGTTCAATTGATAACGCTTGAAAGAAGCCAGTCTGAAAACCTACATACCCTATGATTCCAACGGTAGGACATTCTGAGAAAGTCAAAAAGATACAGTAAATGATCAGTGGTTGCCAAGGGTGAAGGAGGAAAGGAGGGATGGATTCGTGAAGCACAGGGAGTTTTCAGCAGTGAAACTATGACATATGAGACTGCATTGGGGATTCATGACACCGTGCAATTTAAAAACCCACAGAATTGTTAAAAAAGAAAAAAAGATCAAAGATGGAACCCTTAATGTAAACTATAAACTTTAGTTAAGTATAATGATCAATATTGGTTTATCCAGTGTAACAAATGTGCCACACTATTGCAAGACACTAATGGGGGAAATTGTGTATTGAAGGACAGGGAGGCACATGGGAACTCTCTACAGTCTCTGCTCAATTCATCTGTAAGCCTAGAACTGTTCTATAAAGTAACATCTATAAAGCTTTCTAAATTAGAATGTGAAGGCTCCCAATCCAGTCTTTGGCGGCATCCTGATATTGTGTGGTTAATACTGGGCCTTGAGATGCACAACCTGGAGTCAGAGCAGTTGAAGATTTCAATGTCTGTCCCTGGTGTGCCCCTGGAATCCAGAGGGCAGATCAGCTAGGTCATAGTGGCATCAGCACTGCAGACAGTGCAGGTTCTGGTAAGGACAGGGAGAAACCAGCTTGGAAGGCAGAACTTGGCAAATACTTGGAACCACAGATCAAAGGAGGAGACAGGGAGGAGCCGCAGCCTACAGAATAAGCTCCCTGACTGAAAGATAAAGGTAGCCTCAGAGATTTCAGCAAATTCTGAGAGAGAATTAGAAGTCACAAAAAGAACTTAGGTTTCAGAGCAAAGTGGTCTATTTAAAAAGAAAGGGAAGCTGGGAGCAGTGGCTCACACCTGTAATCCCAGCACTTTGGGAGGCCAAGGTGGGCAAATCGCCTGAGGTCAGGAGTTCAAGACCAGCCAGGCCAATATGTTGAAAACCTGTCTCTACTTAAAAATACAAAAATTAGCTGGGCATGGTGGCGCTGTCCTGTAGTCCCACCTACTTGGGAGGCTGAGGCAGAAGAATTTCTGGAACCAGGGAGGTGGAGGTTGTAGTGAGCTGAGATCATGCTACTGCACTCCAGCCTGGTGTCAGAGAGAGACTCCATTTTAAAAAGAAAGAAAGAAAGGGAAGGAAAAAAGGGAGAGAGGGAGAAAGGAAGGAAGGGAGGGAACTTAGGTAAAGACTAGATATCTGGGAATGGGCTTAAATCATTAATCCTTTCCGTTCATGGCCACATGCTAACTAATTATAGCACAGAGAAATTATACTGTAACATCAAATGCAGTTAGAATGGGGTGAGAAGCTGCTCCCCAACATCTCCTTTCTCCTCTAAGGACACATTCAGAATTCACTGGGAACAGAGATACTGAATCTGGCCTTTGGGTAAGTTTGGACATCCACATGAAGGAGCCGGGGCACCGGACACCAGCACACCAGGCCAAGGCCTTCCCCGCTGCCCCTTGCCTGCTTCGGAAGCCACCCCATCGTGGGTGTGGGCCTCAGTCCCAGGTCTCATGTTGTCCATTTGCTTTCTCACTGCTTTCTCACTGGGCCTCTCTCCTTGCACTGGCTCCTACTTCCCCAGGACCCAATGAGTAGCCACCTGGGAAGGACGCAAACTGGCAGTGTCCCTTTCTCTCCGACACCTCTCGACGCCTGCAGAGGTGGGCTTCAGACCCACTCCATGAGTCATGACTTGAGACTTGCTCACAGTGATATCCGTATCCCAGAGCAGGGCCTGGCACTTCATAGCCACACCACGACAGCTCAGTGAGAGGAGGCATCTCCCACACGGCCCTGGAGGACAAGAATTCCACTGTGGCCCGGAACTTCCTAGTCCCAAAAGATCCCAGATTGTGAGATGTGAAAGGCTCTAGAAGGTGGCCATTCTTTCAAACCATTATACGGGCAGCCTGCACCATGTTTGCCCACCCTGGACATGTCTGGCAGGCACCAGCCACAACCACACACATCTCCCCACCCAGGACAGTGCAGCAGCGTTAGTGTGGGGGTGCCAGTGGGCAGGCAAGGGGGGAACCATGAAAGCTGAACAGGAGAAAGCAGGTGGCAGTGGGGCGGCAGAGTGGAAAGAGAGAGAGAAAATAAAGGTGGGTAGAGAATGAGGGGGCTCAGGACGAGAGAGAGAGAGACAGAGACAGAGACAGAGACAGAGAGAGATCGGGAGAGGCAGATCTAGCCACTGAGGAAAAATGCAGAAGAGAACACTTGTCTGCTCAAGTAAAATAACTTACACCTAACCAGGGGCAAGGGCGCTGCAGGTCGTGGGTGCCCTGCCCTGGTCCTGCTGTGATATTTAGGGACCATGACATCTTCCCTTTCAATCTAAATCATAATAGAGAGGAGACGCTGTCCCTATGTAGCTGGCAATGCCTTGTGATTTCACCTTTTGGATCTGGCGGCCCTTCAGGTCTGCTCACTTGGTGGGAGGCAGCTCTTGGTGCACCAAATAGAATGATTCAAAAATCAGAGCCTTGGAGAGCTCACTGGAAGCCCTGAACAGCCGGAGCTGGTGGCATCCCCGGGTGAAGGCCAAGGGCCCAGTGCTGAGGCTCCACACGGCCTCAGGAGGATGGACGGGGCAATCTCGTGTGAGCGCCCACACCCCCAGGAGCCTCTGCCTGGGGAAATGGGCCCCACGCCCAGCTTGTCTCTGCACAGGCCCTGGCCAGGCGTCCAGGGCACTGGCTGAGTCCTGGGTGATGCTAATCCCTGTGTCTTGACGTCGTGGTGGCTCCAAGGAGACGCCATGATGCTTCCACTTGGAACTGGACTTGCGAAGAAAATGGCTCCCGCTGCCGTCAGTCTCCTCGGACTTCGGCGATTGGGTTCCGCCTTCTGGAACCGGAGCAGGACGCTTTTGGGTCGCCCCAGGTGTGGGTGGCCTTGGATCTGCCGTCCTGCCCAGGCCTTGAGGACTGGCTGACGCTCATCGCCTCTGTCGGCGCCGCTGCACTCACACTCACCAGTGAAGACCCCCAAATGTCCCGACTAGGAACGTCGTCCTCCGCTTCCTCTCCGACCGTGGTGGGCTTTCCTGTGAGTGTCGGCTGCGTGGGAGGTCGGTGGTGGGGAGGGTGGGAGCCTGGAGAAGGAAGAGGAATGGGGGCCAGAGGGAGTGGAGGAGGAGGAGGAGGAGGAGGAGGAGGAGGAGGAGGAGGAGGCAGGATGGACAGAGAGCGGGAGGGGCTGGGAAAATGGGTGTGGGGGGCTGCGAGGAAGACAGGGAGCAGGAGGGGGGTTGGAAATGGAATGACAGGAGGAGGAGAAGGGGGGCGAGGAGAAGGCAGAAGGAGGGCAGAAACCCCGCATACTCCCAATCCCGTTCTGGTAAATGCTCAGCGGTGCTCCATGCACAAAGGGAAGAGGTCAGTTGCAAAGAAAAGAAAGAGACCCCAGCGGGTGGGGGGCTCGGCCGAATTTTCACGTCGGGGCAGGAAACTGGCAACTCGTGCGAACTGGCGGCTTTTGTGGAGGCGTAAATATAGCTCTTCCGGGTCCTGATCCCAAGAGGTGCTTAATCTCATTCTCTGAGATAGAAACCGAAAGAGAAGAGCAGAGAGAAGCACGTCTGGGGCGACTCCTCCTATTGCAGTTAAGGTACTCAGGTCCTGTGTGACCAGAAGAAAACAGCTGCGAAGGAAATTCTGGTGACCCTGGAGGCTGAGAATTCACCTGCAAATGCCAATAACCGAGAGTGCTCCGGACAGGCGGTTCCATGGTTGTAATGGTGAGCACTCTGGACTCTGAATCCAGCGATCGAGTTCAAATCTCGGTGGGACCTTGTCGTTAGCTGTGCACAAAAGCTGGTCTTTTATACTGGAGCCGGAAGGCGTTCCAGGAGGCAAACTCCGCCTCAAAGATAAAGGGAAAGGGGTGTGGATTCCGTTTGCCCTTTGTTCCAAGTCCTGGGTCAGAGGAGGGAAAGGTTTGGGTCCTGGGAGGGTTCCCCGCAGGGTGCGGGCTGTTGCAACTCCCCACGTCCCTCCTGCTCCCGACTTGCAATGCGTCCCCGGTGATGTCACTTGCGCTCTCCTATCCCCTCCTCAGGGGACCAGGTCCCAAAAACTGGGTTCTCACAGTGGCCTGATCCACAGGGAAATTGCCAAAGCATCCAATGGGAGTCACCAAGCCTGGAGGGTCCCCGTCCTGAGCGGGCCTCTTGGCCCGTGCAATGGGAGGGGCCAGAGCCCACAGCCAGTGCCCCAGCGACCCAGGAAGCCCCACCCCGTGACCCTGGGTTTTGGGGTGAGAGGTCTCCGCCACTGAAATGGCTGCCTCGCCTCGATCCTAGACCCGGAGATGCCTTTCACCCAGAACATCTCATAATGGCACCCGTTGTCTTTTGGTAAGAAACAGTGGCATGAAAGTTTGATGCGGATAGCTCAGTCAGTCGTTGGTGATTGTGTCTGGGTATAGGGTCGATGGCTGGAGACCTACCTTAGGAGTAATACTGTTTTATTCAGGTGGCCCATCCTATTCCGAATGTTAATTTGCTCTGTTCTTCATATTTAGATTTTTTTGCCGAATTTCTAGCTCCCACGTCTCTATTGCGGGCTCTTTGTCGCTGTTTCACTAAGCTTTGGAAGCTGAGTCTGGAAATCTCATTCTTTGGTCCCAGGATCTCAGCTGGAAAGAGAAATCCGCGCAGCGGCCTCTTAAGCTCGCGGACTGGAAGCCCTGGTCCTGATCCTCCGCAGCCTGGAGGGAGCTCCCGCAGGGCCACAGGGAAGAGGAGGCTGAGCAGCCCAGAGGGATGAGTGTCAGACGCCGGGCTCCCCTCGACCGGCCAGGACCCCAGCCCCAAGGAGAAGAGGACGCCTTAGGACCAGACAGATGCAAAAATGTTTTCTTCTGAGCAGTAGAACACTTCGGATGAGGCTCATGGTGGGCGTTGAGAGCGCGCTAAGATGTCCCTCCAGGCGCTCAGGACCATCGCTCTGATTTTCATATTTTGAAAATATGAGAATTTTCAGCAGTTACAAAGGACTGAAAAACACCGAAGTCTTTGAGGCAGTCAGTTTGGAGGATGTGGGGAGGTGAGGTGTGGGGGGGGAGAGAGGTGCCTTGTTGGCTCCTTGGAGTGGACCGGGAGGAAGGAAAACACACACACACGCTGTTTCCCCTTGCAGGCTGGACTGAAGGGCCTGGGATGGAAAATTGCACAGTGAAAGAGGAGCAGGTGCATTGAAAGTGCTATCCCTAGAGAGAAGTGCGGGCGGGGCCAGGACGCTGCCGTCACTGCTGCTGTTCACCACCAGCTTTGCAGCGTGTGAGACCTTCATAACAGTGTATAGTGCATGCAGATCACTCGTGTTTACAAGCAACTGATCACAATTCCTTACAGATTTCTTTGTTCCTTCCCCACTCCCACTGCTTCACTTGTCTAAACTTAAAGGAAAAAATAAAACGTTTGTTTTTACACATGATGTTGTTTAAGTTGATCCTCAGCCCACCCTCCTCAAGCAGCTGGGACCACAGGTATACAACACGGTGTCCAGCTAATTTTGTGTATTTTATAGTGATGGGGGTTTTGCCATGTTGGCCAGGCTGGTCTCGAACTCCTGGACTCAAGTGATCTGCCTGCCTGGGCCTCCCAAAGTGCTGGGATTAAGTGCTGGCCTGCGTGCCCAGCCATCATTTGTATTTTGCATTTAAATATTTTACAGTCATATGTATCACTTCTCAAAGATTCTGGGTTTTGTAGCATGTGAATGATGGGGTTCCAGACACGCTACTCCAAAATATAACACCTTGAGCTCTTAAACATTTTATACTAAAGGGATTTGAGAAAACAACAGAAGCAGGAAGGCCACTGTCACCTCCCCCTGCCCTTCGTCCCGGAAGCCAATCATAAGGCTCTCATGTGAGAGGTGCCCTCTCTGTACCCAGAGGAAATGTGCATCGCTGTGTCTGAAGGTACAGGGACACAGAGAAGAGTCTGAATGTATAGGCCTGGCTATGTTTCCCCCAGCTTATTACCATTAGATGGTACTGTGGGGGTGATGGCCCACAGGGTCATGGATTGTCCCTTATGCTGTGCTGAGGCACAGGATCCAAGAAATAAAGACACAGGACACAGAAGTACAAGGAAAATGCAGCTGGGCTCGGGGAGCCACGCCACCTATGAGTGGAGTCAGGCATTGAGGCCCCGAATGTCCAGAAGTGTGAGTATTTATTGTGTATAGGTTAGGGGGCAGGGCAGTGAGTGACGTCATCTTTAAGGATAGTGATAGGGTCGTGAGCAATAAAACTAGGGGTCCACCCCTATTCGGTCACCTAGGCTGGGAGATGGACAGTGCACAGCAGGGAGTCCATTCCCATTAGGTCATCGAGGCAAGGGCCATGTGCAGTATGGAGTCCATCCCATTAGGTCACCGAGGCATGGAGGTGGCCGTGCGCAGTGAAGAGGGTGCAGTGTGCAATACCTCTATGTATGGGCAAGCTACTAAGAAGATTTAAAGGAGGATGCTTTAAGTCACACAGCAGTGACAGAGCTGTCAGGGTCTACACCACCTGGTGGCAGCTTCCAATGAGTTCTATAGGGGAATGCTTTTCAAGCAGCACAGTAACAAGAGCTGGTAAAGTTCACAGTCGCCAAGGTGCGATTGCTGGTCTGAGGGCAGCCTCCCACAAGAACTGGAGCAAGGTCCTACAACTCCTTATCAGGAGGAGTGGCTCTCGCCCCAAGCCTCCCATACAGCGGGTATCTTTACGATACTGAACGCTGCCCCTGGGCCATGGATTCTTGTCCTGGTGTAACTGCTCTTCCCTTAATCATGCTGTGCACTGTGTCTGCTCTAGGCATTCCTCCGATTATAAGCTGCTTATTCCTTAATTCATGCTCTGTACTCTGTCCACTCTAGGCATTCCTCTGATTATAAACTAAGATATCATTTTATATATATGGAAATAACTGAATGGTAGGATATTCTTTAGGCACTCATTCTATGAACTAATATATGATTATATAGAGAGGATTGTACAAAGGGAAATAACTGAGCAGTAACACTATAAACTGAGATATTCTCCAAGCCCTATTTCTGTAAACTGAGATATTCTCCAGGCCTTAATTGTGCCAGGATTCTGCTTAGCTCTCCTTCCTCAGTACCTCTACAGGGGGTTCCCCACATCGTACTCTTTTCATTCCTTCACACTTCTCTATGACTATCCACTCTTTATCTAAACTACTGTTAAAGAAAAAAAACCCTGAGGCTTAGCTGTTTCCATGGGCCTTCATTTCCTTTGGAAGGCGCTCCAGTCATGTGAAACTGACATTAAATAACTAAGTATGCTCTTCTCTTGTTAGTCTGTCTTTTGCTGTAAGGGTCTCAGCAGTGAACCTAGGCTGGGCGAGGAAAAATCATATTTCCTCCCTGCGGGCACAAATGTCTTCCACTTTAAAACTATAAAAATTTTATTGAGGCTGATTTGATGCAAGAAATCGAATCACTGATTTCCTTTAGATGAGCTAATAAAGTCCCAGTTCCTCCCAGAGAGAAATAGGGTTTGGTTTTGTTTTGTTTTTTGAGACCAAGTTTCACTTGTTGCCCAGGCTAAAGGGCAATGGTGTGATCTTGGCTCACCATAACCTCCACCTCCCGGGTTCAAGTGATTCTCCTGCCTCAGCCTCCAAGGTAGCTGGGATTACAGGCATGCACCACCATGCCCAGCTAATTTCGTATTTTTAGTAGAGACGGGGTTTCTCCATGTTGGTCAGGCTGGTGTTGAACTCCTGACCTCAGGTGATCCTCCCACTTTGGCCTCTCAAAGTGCTGGGATGATAGGCATGAGCCACCGTGGACAGCCAGAGAAACACTTCTATAGCTCATTCCCTGAAGCTCCTTGAGGGTCAAACCTGCTGAAGATTGAGGGACTTCCTGGGACCTCCCCCAGGAGATCACTGCTGGTGAGAGGATTGCCGCAGTCTCCTGGGAGGGTGCACGGCCACTGGAAAGTATCACTGCTGTGACTTCAACACAGCGGTTTTCATCACATCTGCTCTTTCTATTTGTTTTCTTGGAGATGAGACGCTCTATCACCCAGGGTATAGTGATAGTGGTGCAATCACAGCTCACTGCAACCTCTGCCTCCTCGGTTCAAGTGATTCTTCTGCCTCAGTCTCCCGAGTCACTGGGATTACAGATGCACCACAATGGGGAGCTAATTTTTGTATTTTTAGTAGAGACGGAGTTTCGCCGTGATGGCCAGGCTAGTCTCGGACTCCTGACCTCAGGTTTCTGCCCACCTCAGCCTTTCAAAGTGCTGGGATTACAGGCATGAGCGCCTGTACCTGGCCACGTCTGCTCTTTGCACTGCTGCAGGAAACTACAAGAGCTAACATGCAAAGGAGTATAGATCCACACCTCCCGACTGTGCCTGATCTGCAAAGTGCCACATGGCAGGCACAGCGGATGAGTGCGTGTGATTGTTTAGTCCTTACAGGCCAAGGCTGCACCATCATCTTCATCTTCCACATGAGAGGACTGGGATGCAGAGATGTTAAGTAACCTGCTCAGGGTCACACAGGTCAGATTTCTTTGACAGTTATACTTTTCCTTTGTCAGGTTTTTCTCACTGTCGTAGTTTTTGCAAGGGCACTTTCATCAGGAGCAGTATAAACGCAGTGGTTCTGAGAATGCCTTCTGGAGCCAGGCTGCCTTCAGTTCAGATTCCTACTTTCAACCCTCCTTCCCCGGCTAAGTGACCCTGAGCACTGCACCTTGCTTCTAACCTTCACCTGCCCTTGGCTATTCCTGGGCATAGGCCAGGCCAAATATGGGAGAAATTTACTTCCAAGTCTAAGTCTGAAACAAAGATGGTAACAGCCCCTTCCTGAGACAAACTCCTTCCTTCTTGGGCATCAGAGCTCCTTAGCAAAGCTAACAAATTAGACATAAGATTGAACATTACGGCTCAGGAGCCATGCAGCCAGAAGCCACAAGATTCCTAAGCTCCCCATTTGTGCCTATAAAACATCATTCATATAAAACTAAGATTGGCATTCAAGGTATTTTTCAGACCCTGCCTTATGATGAACTAGCTGGTGCTACCCAGACAGGTGAACTGGCTCATCTGGTCCTGTGGCCACCACCCAGGGACTGACTCAGGGCAAGAAGACAAGCTCCAACTCCCTGTGACTTCACCCCCAACCCAACCAATTGGCTTTCCCCATTCCCTAGCCCTCTGCCTGCCAAACTATTCTTTAAAAACCCTAGTCTCTGAATTTGCGGTGGGGGTGGGGGTGTGAGGGGGACAGACTGGATTAATAATGAACCTCTGTCCTGTTGCTTGGCTGGCTCTGCATGCATTAGATCCTTTCCTATTGCAGGAAGCCTGCTGTTCTCAGCTCCATTGACTTTTCTGGGCAACCAGCAAGATAAACCCACCAGTTTCATTAATAAAAGAAAAACACAAATGGTACATATGCTTGAAAAGAAATGTAAGTCCGTGTATTTCTTTTGAAGAAATGCAAAAAGGAGGAAAAATGATGACAGGCAGTACACTGTCCTAAATATTTTCATGATTCTCCTGTCCCCCCATATCCTTCTCTCCCAACAACTGCTCCCCAGAAACCTTCAACTTAAACACGATTCCTGCCAGAAACCGGGTTTGTCCTCCCTCACATGTTCCTCTCACCTGCCCCACACCCCTTTCATGTCTAATCTGTTCGTTCACTTCCAGGTCATTGAGATTTTCCATTTAAAAATATAAGATACAGAAAGACAAAAATAACCAGTCATCCATATTTCCACTACCTGGAATTAAGTACTATTCGCACATGTACATACTTTTATTCCAAACCATTTAAAGTTACTTTTTAAAAATCATACATGCTTAGCATAGACATACAACAGTACAGAAAAAGTACAGATATATAAGATAGATTCTGATCACCTTAAGTTCAAAATCACTTTTGTTAACATTGGGCAACGCTGATGGAGTCGTGTTCTTCTGCTGTATCTACAGAGAGAAGAATGTATGTTTTAGCTAGACTGCCCCCTGCCCACCCCCGCAG